CTTCCAAAAACAGTTTGGCCCAAAGCTTAGCATTGGTTCTCAAACCAGAAATGGCACCTATCAACCAAATCACAGGGTACATTTATTTACTAGATCTTTTCTCAAGTGATTCCTGATCATCCCAAAAAGGGTAAAACAAAGTCGAGCTTTTACTGTTATCTCTCAAACCTGCCTATTTCTTGGGGAATGGAGGATTACTTATGGGCCATGGGAGAGCACAAGTCAAAGAGTTGAGAAGTGAGTGAGAAACAAACTAGAAAGTTCATGCTCATTATCCAGGGGAATTGAAGGACAAACTGCAAGTGAACTCATGGTTTCTCCTCCATCTGTACCTCCTAATAGTGTTCAAATTATTGATGGGTAACCCACATAACTAGCCGTGAGGAAGCCCTGAATAAGCATGTATATCATTTCTATTCCAAGCCCTAATTCTTCTAAATATTTTATTTCTGTTATTGATTGTGAAGAACCATTTCTTTTAAATTTTCTATTTCATACTATGTTTATATAATAATTCAGAAAAAGTGAAAACTTGGTATTATTTAATACATTAGTGCTATAAATTGTAATTTATAATATCTTTATACTTTAAAAAAATTTAAATAGCATTGATATCAAATTACCGGTTGTATATGTAATAGTACAGTGCACTAGTGTAGTGCTTATTACACAATAAATCTTGGGAACTAACCCTAAGAATCATTTCAAATCTAAATGTATCTGGAATTCTAAAAAACTGTTTTTAGAAGAGTAAAGATTAGGGTCCTAAAGCATAAATAATTACTTCAGGTAACAGTTTACACTTGAAGATTTTCACTTCCACTGAAATTCAACACCTTGAACCTAATTCTTCTAGGAAAATCTAGTATCGACATGTAATTGTAACATTCAAACCGTATGTTTCTGGGTTTGGTGCTGTATGCAGATAGCTGTGACAGCAATACTACTAAATTCTAATAATGTAACATGAAAAACACCATATGAGTGGTTTACTTAGCAAATACAATTGAATATTAGAGACTAGTATTGGGAAAAAATATATGGTAAGTGACAGCCATGTTATGTTCTTTTTTTCTTTTTTTGTAAGAATGTGAATAATTAGTTGTTTGTTGATTAGATTGGGAGGCTCTGACACTGCTTGTTTTTTGTCTGAATTTGTCTTTTGTTTAGGCAGTTGGTCTCTGACATGCATATCTGTTGTTATTTTACAGACAGCATTTTTCCTAAACACTACTTTTGTTTCCTGATATTAACCTTTAATCTTCATCTGTTCTCTCCTTAGCTTTTAATAACCCACGACCAGGGCAACTGGGCAGGTTATTGCCAAACCAGAATTTACCACTTGACATCACATTGCAAAGCCCAACTGGTGCTGGACCCTTCCCACCAATCAGAAACAATAGTCCCTACTCAGTGATACCTCAGCCAGGAATGATGGGTAACCAAGGGATGATAGGAAACCAAGGAAATGTAGGGAACAGTAGCACAGGTAAGGGCTCAAATGCACTGTTACTTTACTGGGTTCTGTAACCTAATGATGTATTTCATCCACATCAAACTAGTAGAATTCTTCCAATGAAATTTTTCATGTTAGAAGCTAACATTTGAATGTAAGAAAAGTGTACAGATTTTCACCATGAGAGTGGTACAGGAAGCATCGGAGAGCATTCCAGGAAGCTGGCCTTTTACTCTGTGATCATTACTTTCAGAAGTTGCTAATTATTACTCCTATACCATAGGCTCATTTCACTTCTGTTCCCGTTGCTGTTGGAGACATTGTGGTGGTGTGTGTAAAATAATTTGGTGGTTGCCAGCTTCTCATGATAATCTGCTGATAATCCCAAAACTTCCCGTTAATTGATGATCTGCGTTTGGAGAATTTCAGAATAAAAGTTTAAAATTCAGCCAACCTTTCATGCTTGTAAATGATACCATTCTCATTCAGAAAAATATTCACTAAAAATAAAAACTTTAGTCCGACTGGTGTGGCTCAGTTGTTGAACGTTGACCTATGAACTAGGAGGTCACAGTTCAATTCCCAGTCAGGGCACATGCCCGGGTTGCAGGATAAATCTCCAGTTTTTTATGAAGAACTGCTTACAATTTATAGCTTTCTTCTTTTGTTGAAATGAGGGCCTAAAGAAAAAGGTACTGAAATAATAGATATTATCAAAAGAACTTATATTGGTGGGTGTTTAATTTGGGGGGGGGTTGTTTGTTCGTTTTTGTTTTTAGCTTAGTATGTAATCCCTGTAAACATTTGCCATTTAGATAGTTAACTGAAAATAAGAGTTCAATTTAAGGGGGAAAGATGGATTTTTTTACTTTCTGTTTTTCATAAAGCAATGAACCATACTGTATTAAAATAGTTCATTCAACAAATACTAATTGGGTACCTATCCTAAGTGCCAGGAACTTACTACTTCACTAATTTATATATTCACAGAAATAGTGCCATATAAATTTTGCATAATTTTTAAGACTATTGATTTCTAGAAATAAAATATTGGTTTATGTAAATTTTATAAGAGAACAGGAGCCAATGACTTATTAAAGGTGGCTTCTTATTAGCAGAATCCAGGAAGACCTGAGTCCTTGTGGGAACCTGACATAAGAACTTGGGGCTATACCTGTATTCAATTCTAAGCAGCCCAGAGACCACTGGTATTCAAGCTGTCATCATGCAATTAATTGCCTGTGCTTTGTTGAAAAAGAAAACGCTGAGAGAAACTCTCCCAGTTATAATTGCATTAATGTTGTGGAATTAAGGATGGTTTTACCTTCTGCTTTCTGGACTTTCTATAATCTTGTTATGTCGTTTCGATAATAGATTTTTTGAAAGCTAAAATGCCTATTTCCTATTATATATTTGTAAAATTTAAATCTAATCTTAAAATAGTTTGTTAAATACATGTTACCATAATATTGTTCTAACTTTTTCAACCTAATTAAATGTCCTTCACTCTCAATCATCCTAACGGAGCACATTCTCCAGGAAAAAACCACCCACCATACATGGCTGCTCCATTTATTAAATGTACCCTATTTTTAGTTGTTTATTATAATTAAAGTAAATGAAAGCAAGTCATGTATTTGAAAGCAGAGCTTTTATACATCCGTCATTAAACATTTCAAAATGAAGGGTCCGCACTTGGGGTTTTTCCAGAACTTCTAGAATATCAAGTCTTGGCAAATCTCTGGCCGTTGCCAGCATCTCGGCGGCCGAGCGAGGGAAAGCAGACTCCCGATCCTGCTTGCCAGTGTCGTGCTCCTGTATGATGTGTGGTCAACCAGCTATTAACATCTCAAGCATAAAAGGATTTTTACCAGTCTGCCCGAACCCATTCTAGATATATACTCAGGAATGTGATGGTCCAGGCATATTGAAGTAGTAGGAGTTCCCAGCCTTGGCTACAAAGAACCATAGTAGAAAGATCAGGTCATTGCCCATGCTTTGGAGGCTACCCGGCAATTTTAAAGCTTAACAAATTCTAATGCTCTGAAAGGCATAGGAGTGGGCTTCACGGGATAGTCTCCATGATTTTCGTTTGTGATTAGAGTATTGATGATCAGTTTTTTACCTTGTTCCTCTTGGCCTCACCTCCCTTTTGGAAAGTAAAGCATTGACGTGTGTGTCAGCTAATGTGATTCACTTCCTGAGGAAGGAAGTTGGGGTTATCCACACGCCACAGCACCTGTTTCTGAGTACATATGGGAACAATTTTAACAGCTTTTCCGAACTATACAGAGTGGCAAGTCCGTGTTGTAAAAAACTTTGTAGTAATTGCCAATTCTTATTTCTTAGCCAACGGCCCACATCTGTCCCAGTGAGGGCCTTAGCTGTTGGGCTAGCTGCGTATTGCAGACTGGTTGTCTTGCTCAGAGTAAGATTGTGTGGCGTTCACACGTGCTGAGTATGTTTTCAGTTTCTGCATGTCTCTGTCTTCTCTGGCTTGCCTTCAGGGATGATAGGTAGTAACGCCGCCCGGCCCACCATGCCATCTGGGGAGTGGGCACCACAGAGTTCCGTGCGAGTCACCTGTGCTGCTACCGCCAGCGCCATGAGCAGGACGCTCCAAGGAGGTATGATTCGGAATCCAGCCGCCAGCATCCCCATGAGACCCAGCAGCCAGCCTGGCCAAAGGCAGATGCTTCAGTCTCAGGTCATGAATCTAGGTAAGGTGGTGCTCCTGGCTTTGCTTCTGCTTTCCTAGACTAACAGCTCCAGAAGTGCTCCCAAGACAGGTTCCTAATTTGCCATTTAGGTGTCCCCCATGTCATGCTGTCATGAGTGGGATTTTGCTGGAACTCTGTATAGAAACTCAAAGGTTTTTCAGTTATCTACGAGAGCCAGCTACCTTTGTGATGTTTTCTTTTCATTAAATTACCTAATTTCAGCTTATATGGGCAGTGAGTGTCCCATATAAATGGTGTATTTTGGAGAAGCATTTCAGTGATGCAGCAGTGGTTCCTAACTCTGGGTGAACATCAGGGTCACCTCAGGACCTTCAAGTGCGGGTTCCTGGGCCACTGCCCTCCACTGTTAAACCTACTCTCCCAGGTCCTCACGAAGGTGCAGGTCTTACGGAACGTCTCACAAATCGTGAGGATCAGTAGAATTTTGTTTGGATACAGTTCACATGTTATTAAAAATTAATGGTCAGGTATATTGCATGGCTCCCTTTATATGAAATGTCCAGAATAGGCAAATCTGTAGAGAAAGTAGATTAGTGTTGACCTAGGACTGGGGGTCTGGGGGTGGGAGCACAATGGGGAGTGACTCCCAATGGTCATTCTTTGGGGGAGAATAAGAATATTCTAAACTTGATTGTTATGGAGGTTGTACAATCTGTAAATATACTAAACCCACTGGATGGTATACTATAAAGAGATAAATTGTATGCTATGCGAATTATAGCTCAATAAAGCCATTATTAAAACATATTAATGGTCAATGCAGCTCATACTCAAGATTATTTTTTTAATCATTGACATATTAACCTTCCTCTTCTACATTAGCATAGCTCAGATAAGTTGACGTTTATGTTCTGTTTCATATACTTAGATATTGTGCCATGACTAGGAGCTAACTGATGATGGAAAGGTGCCATGGTTGTTTGGAGCAGGAGGTGCAGACTCCTCATCCCACCTCTGGCATCTGTTTTCCTAACCAGCAGCTTAAGTGCTCAGTGCATTTGGGGTTATTGTTTCTGAAAGATGACATTCTTGTCATTTGAGGTTGCATGAGAAATGCTAAAAAAAAATGACCAGAATTCCATGCAAAATTAAACTGGGAAATTTTTTTTAATATTTCTTCATTTAAAAAACATTATAATAAATACCTATATCCAGAAATTTAATTTAGTTTCAGTCTTTCATCATTGAAAGGCAACACTCTTGCTTTTGAGCTTTGCTATATAACTGAGTTTTTGTGTGTTTTTTTTATTTTATTTCTTTATTAAAAAACAGTGGTTAGATGCCATGAAGTAGGTGGCAATGCCTTAACCGTATGTGTGTTGTTAGGCCCGAGAGCCTCTTCCATCCTTGTCAAGGGGAGTGCTAACCTTCTCTCCTTTCATACAACACATGAGTTTTTCTGATTATAATGGAAATCTATTGTAATGGAAGACAGGTCTATAGATAATGATAACAGTAAAATTGTTAAAAAGCTCATATCATCATTAGCCTTAAACCTCTAAAAGCTATTAAGAATGAGCATGTCTGAGCTACTGGCCTCCTTTCTGCTCCACCCTTACTCCCTGGAGAGTCACTGAGCCCAGTAGGTTCAGGAGCACGCGCAGACCAGCGCCTCTCACAGGACGGCCCAGGACTCCGGCGCCCTTTGGAAAGGGGGTCTGCCAGGCCCAGACTATTCTCATAATCACACTAAGACACTGTTTTCCTTCTCACTCTCCTTCTCTCGCGGGGCTGGAATGTGGAAGCAAGTAGGAAATTCTGACTCTCTTCTGTCAAAGGACATTAAAGTGATTTTCAAAAATGTAAAACAACATCAGTAAAGGTGGCGTTGGGTTTTTTTGTTTGTTTTTTCATTCAAAAAAGTTTGTGTTAACATATACTGGGTTTATTATAATGATTTTTAAATGAAGTAATATTTTTTCTATTGGCCAATTTTAATTCCAACAAAGTAAATTTCAGTAAGATACAACCCACATAGACAAAATCTTTTTTGACAAAATGTAAAGGGTCCTCAGGGCAAGAAGAGGCGTAGAGCTGCTACTCTGCACCACCCTGGAAGCGGTGATTAGCCTTGATATTCACTGCCTGTATTTCTGTATCAGAACAAAGAGTCTTATTTTCACCTGATTAGTGTTCCTCCTATCTTTTTCATTTTCTAAAAACCAGATGTTTTGCTTTGTATTACATAACAGAAACAGATCCTTCCCTGATTACAGGCTGTAAGATTTTTGGACTTTTGTCTTCTTCTTTTCTAGGGCCATCTGAGTTAGAGATGAACATGGGGGGCGCCCAGTATAGCCAACAGCAAGCTCCTCCAAACCAGACCGCCCCGTGGCCTGAGAGCATCCTGCCCATAGACCAGGCCTCCTTCGCCAGCCAGAGCAGGTGAGTCCTGGGCCCCCAGGAGGTCCAGGAGAGCTGCTTTCCGAGTTCTGTACGTTATTTTACACAGGCCTGTGCCCAAAGTCAGTCCTCTCCTTTTAATAGCTGGTGCCTAACCAAACTGAAGAATTCAGACTTTGTACATTAAGCCGTTGAAATAGTTTTTTGAAAAAGGATGTGGTGTCTGATCAAATTTATTGAGTTTTTTTGGTTGTGATTATCAGTCTAATCATTTTCATTTCCTTGTAGGTGATCTTTTCTTTCTAATTGCTTTTGAACAGTTCTTTGTGTTTGCTGCGTTGTAGCTTTACCACAGTGTGTCTAGGTGTGGATTTATTGATACTACCTGGTATTTAGTATATATTGTTCATTTCTAAGAGTTTTATTTGCCCGGTTATTTTTCATAACCTCTTTCTGCTTGCTTATTTTTGTGATTTTTAAAAATATATATTTTTATTGATTTCAGAGAGGAAGGGAGAGAGCTACAGAGAAAGAAACATCAATGATGAGAGAGAATCATTGATCGGCTGCCTCCTGCATGCCCCCTACTGGGGATCGAGCCCGCAACCGGGGCATGAGCCCTTGGCCGGAATCAAACCTGGGACCCTTTAGTCTGCAGGCCAATGCTCTATCCACTGAGCCAAACCAGCTAGGGCTATTTTTGTGAATTTATCTTTATATCTTTAAATATTACATTAATCATTATTTCTAATTTTTTTTATTCAATACTTTCAATATCTGGATTTCTTGAAGTTCTAAATCCAATGATTGACCTATTTCCCTAAGTACGTTGGTAATTACACTGGGAGTTCATAACAGATCTCAGTTAGTGAAACATCTGGGATTGAAGTTGAGGGCACTTTTATTAAGGGAGAATTTGCAGTGGTCTCTGCCAGATGTGACGTCACTACTTACTTGGGTCTCCCCCAGGGTCCCTCAGCTCAGCCCAGCAGTCTCAGGGTAGCTCTTTGACTTCGCTTTGCTTTATAGAGAAAAACGCACTCATCACCCGTGGCTCGGAGAATGCCTGTGTTTCAGCTCATCGCTGTGTTTTGTTCTGTGTTATTCCCGGCAAAGGCAACATCCGTTGTGATACTGCGCGATCTCACTGGGTTTTAGCAGAGCACCGGAAGCCGAGGTTGCACAGGGGACTGAGCCCTGAGTGATGGCACTGCCCAGCTGGCCGGGTGGGCGAGAGCCTAGGGCAGGGAGAGAGCTGGGGCCTGAGCAGGAGGCAGTGGGCCCTCACAGAATGCAGGCTTTGCTTTCCAGGAAGCAAACTTCTTAGAAAACGTAAACTGGAGGAATTTGGCCTTGAGGCTCATATGTAAAGAGTTGGGGTTGGCCCTAACCGGTTTGGCTCAATGGATAGAGCGTCGGCCTGCGGACTCAAGGGTTCCAGGTTTGATTCCGGTCAGGGGCATGTACCTTGGTTGCGGGCACATCCCCAGTAGGGAGTGTGCGGGAGGCAGCTGATCGATGCTTCTCTCCCATCAATGTTTCTAACTCTCTGTCCCTCTCCCTTCCTCTCTGTAAGAAATCAATAAAATATATATATTTTTAAAAAGAGTTGGGGTTGGAGGCTCCATGAAGACCTTTTTGCAGAGTGAATGTTTATGTCCTTCTGGGATTATTCTAGTCTCAAATCATATAATTCTCTTATCAAATGCACAAATGATGAAAGTCAGCAGGGTTTCTGGAGCTTCACCCAGGCAGGCCTCATTTCCAGAGCTGCTTAAAAATGCACATTTCTGAGTGAGTCCCTCTCTGGGATGTAATGCTTTCATCGTAGTCGGGGCTGCGCAGCGCAGGGTTGCAGTGTGTGCCCGTTTTTCTTTCTGTAAAGTGAGTGATAAAGGATTCAATGACGTTTTAAAAAATAGCGGAAGGTGAATATGTGCCCAGCAATAGGTTTGGTGAGAAAAGTAGAGAGCTGGTTATTGCAGTGAAAGAAAGGATTTAGGAAACTGCTTAATAACTGTCTAAAGAAGGAAGGGTGCTCACCTGCTGTATGCCATTCGCTAAGGGGGTTGTGTTTTTATTGATTTCAGAAAGGAAGAGGGGGAAAGAGGGATAGAAACATCAATGATGAGAGAGAATCATTGATCGGCTGCCTCCTGCATGCCCCCCATCAGGGATCAAGCCCATAACCCAGGCATGTGCCCTGACCAGGAATGGAACCATGACCTCCTCATTTATAGGTCAGTGCTCAACCACTGAGCCACACTGGCCCAGCAAAACAAGTGTTTTCAAACCCCACTGTGCCTGTGAACTGCATCTGGAGTCTCACTGAGAGGCAGGTCTGGGTGGGACCCAGGAGTCTGCCTTCCCCACAAAGCCCAGGTGATGCCAGCACCGCTGGTCCTCCCACTGCACCGTGAGTGGCAGTGAGGCTGGAAGAACAGACCGGGAGACTTTGAGTCTAATTTCACAGTGTGGGAGGGTTGTTCTTTGCTAAATATGTCTATTTGGTATGTTAAAACCCACCTAGCCCGAACCGGTTTGGCTCAGTGGATGGAGCGTCAACCTACGGACTGAAGTGCCCCAGGTTCGATTCCGGTCAAGGGCATATGCCCGGGTTTCGGGCTTGATCCCCAGTAGGGGGTGTACAGAAGGCAACTGATCAATGATTCTCTTTCATCATTGGTGTTTCTATCTCTCTCTCCCTCTCCTTTTCTCTCTCTGAAATAAATAAAAATAGTAAAAAATAAAATAAACCCAGCCATTTCCATGGAAATTTACACATAATAAAAATATAGTGCAATAATTAAATCCAACACTTGATAGTTGTTTTTGAATGAAATGTGAAAGATGACTTTCTAGGGAACTCATCCTAAGCCCAAAATTAGGATTTTCAGTTGCCCAAACAGATGAGAGTTCTGGTTGGTTGGTTGGTTTAAAAGGGAAGAATTCCGATTTTACTGAGTCCAAATGCAGAGTGAGCTGTGCCACGCAGGTTCTGGGGCTCACCGTGGCCTGTGCGGACCCCTCGGTCCCTGTCTCCGGCTGTCTCTGTCTAAGAACTGTGTGAACAAAGTGTTTTCGCCACTTTAGAAGTTATTCCAGCCTTTCCAGGCACTCATCCCACTTATTGTATTTTAAATAATTGAGTTTGGAAGAAGTTAAGACCAACTTCAAGCTAATCTTACTGCCATAGAGCCTCAGAGGTGATGATAACAGGTTCTAACAACATCCCTCTTGAAACAAAAGGAAAGCAGTGCTTTTTAAAAATCCCCTCTGTTAGTGTCACCGTCACCATTTTATATTTTTACAACCCACCTGTTTAGGAATGGGTTTGTTAATGTTTATGAACCAAGCATTAGTTTATGTACATATTTCAAAAGGACAGTATGTTAAATCTCTAACATATCCCCATACTCACTGATTGTAGCTGAATTTCCATTTTCTGTAGTTCCATTGTGTTTTTTCCTTAGCTCGCCTGGAACGTAAAAGAGAGGTTTGAAATATAGTCCAAAATGTATAGATGATTTGTTTGAAGATTTCTGTTGGATTTATAAAAGTGACTTTTTTTCTTGAAATAGAATCGCCGTCTTTCATGAAAGATTTGCTTTCACATTAAATTCAGATTTTTTGAGTTAACTTGGTTTTCTGTTGTTTGAAACGTACGTGAGAGTAAAGTTTCTTGTGTTGACTATTTCTCATGTAGTAGCTGCTACTTTTTTGCAGGATTTTGGGAATGCATGTGAAAAGTGAGGGTAATGGTACGGTTTCCCATGAGCCTATCACCAGTGGAGAGATGAGGGGCCAGGGGTGTATGTAGGAATGAAGCTTCTGGAGAAACAGGAATTGAAAATTTTGAAAAAAAGCTAGACAAAGGAAATACTTGAATGCCCCACGTGAATAGCATCTTTGGGGAATGAGGTCTCAGCCTAAGAGACCTGGTACAGAGCCGACGTCCACTCTGGCCGACTTGAGCTCTTTTTGCATGAAGTTTACCACATCCAGATGTTGGTCACTCCTCGGGCCTTTCCTTCTGCCTTTGCCGCCATGACATGCAGTCCTGTGGTTTTCTCCTGGTCGCTCCTCCCTAAGCAGCGGTGAGGAGTGATCGGATCACACTTGTATTTAAAAGTGAGTTCTGGGAAGGTGTCGGCCGTGGGGGAGCTATTTCAGTGCCTGCTGTTTACCGAGAACCACAGCCATGGTGGGGAGAGGAGGCAGGTGGAGAGTCCCCAGTGAGAGCAGAGGCTGAGAGTGTGGGTGGGAGCCCGAGTGGCTGGTGCGTGCGTGTAACTGCTGGTAGCTCATGTGAGGTCTACTATGTCCTTTAACTGGGCCCAGTGCCTCGGAGGCAGTGGGGCTGCAGGCTTGGAGCCAGGGACAGGAGGTGAGGGTATTCTCAAGGGACACTTAATGGGGTACCTTTCTTTTTTTTTAAAATATATTTTATTGATTTTTTACAGCGAGGAAGGGAGAAGGATAGAGAGTTAGAAACATCAATGAGAGAGAAACATTGATCAGCTGCCTCCTGCACACCCCCTATTGGGGATGTGCCTGCAACCAAGGTACATGCCCTTGACCGGAATCGAACCTGGGACCCTTCAGTCCGCAGGCCAATGCTCTATCCACTGAGCCAAACCAGTTAGGGCTGGGGTGCCTTTCTTTACCAGTAACTAGGGATCAGTGGAGAGTCTAGATTACTTTTAATGTACTGTGTTGTTACAACTTTTGGAAATTGTTGGCTTTAGTAATGAGCATTTCAGGATTTCTGGATTCTAGGCCAATGTGGCATATTCAACTATCTTCAGAAAACATGGCGTATTCAACTGGGCTAAAGAAGCAGCTTCATCCCTTGATGAATCTGTGTTCATTTAAGAATGAAGTTATTTCCTCCAAGACATCATATAGTAACTCAAAGGGTACAAATTTAGACCATTTTGGAAAGATGAGTATCATTTCCCCGTTGGTGTTAAAGTGACTCAGGAGCTCTTTTTAAAAATCTCCCCCAATTTGTCAGTTAATTTCAATGATGGGAGTTTTATATACCATAGAATTTGGAGTTTAATATTATGGTTTTATCATCTATAACCATATAGATTAGCAAACATACTTTGCAGGTTCATGATCGGCTTCTCTTGGCCAACTCAGGAGGGCTTTCATGTTTCCGAGTCTTGCTTATGGGTGACTAAGAAGGCTCCTGTTAGTCCAGTCAAGTTTAGTCTGGCGACAGCCGAGTTCAGAAATTCATGTGGCTTTTATGTGCCTCCCGTGCTCTGGCCTCTCCCGGGTGGGTCGGCACAGCCTCCTATGAAATAGGACCATTCAGTCAATCAGACTTTCCTAGTAAAGTTCAGGAAAAGTCCTTTGATCACTTCAGTGCAAAGTAAATATATATGTGCTTGTGGGGTCAGCGTCCATTTGTGGAAACATTAATGGCCAGGTGGGCCTTGGACTCGCATAGGTCATTTTGTTCTGTGTCCAGCTGGTACAGTATTTTACTAGAAAGACCCTAGAAGGCAACTGAGACTTTAGTCCTTAAGGAATAACAATGTTCTGCGATCAGCTAGCTTTTCCACGGGCCCAAGCCGAAGTCTTGTCTTTGCAGGCAGCCGTTCGGCAGCTCCCCCGATGACCTGCTGTGCCCACACCCTGCCGCCGAGTCTCCCAGCGACGAGGGCGCCCTCCTGGACCAGCTCTACCTGGCCTTGCGGAACTTCGATGGCCTGGAGGAGATTGACAGAGCTTTGGGAATACCCGAACTGGTCAGCCAGGTACGTGCAGGCGGAAGCTGGCGGGGCTGAGCATCTCGTGGGCACAGATGTTCGTTTCCTTTTGCCCACAGATAATGTGCAGTCTGCGTTTTACAATACCTTTTCACCTCGTGCCACTCTAGCCCTGGCTTCTTTCTCCCCCTCTCCTTGTGACTCCCTCATAAACTCTGGCCCAAGAACGGAAAACACTGGGTATGAGCTTTACGTAGAATTTGGGTTATTCAGCTGAGAGGCAGAAACACAGGTCCAGCTCACCTAACGACAGGGAGGGACCCGCAGAATGGAACATTGCTGCCCCGATGGCCTTGAATGCTTTCCTCTGAAACCCAGTCTCCATGATCACCATACGAATCTTACATTTGTGGGCCAGTGATAGGAAACTATTTGTTCTAAAAGAATACTTTGCACATACGGTAGCAGAAGTCAATTTAGAGGTTGCTGTAACTCATTAATCATTTTGACCTTTGCATGGGTTTAGCCCACAACAATATTTAGGATATTTAAGCATAAGTGGGAATGTAAAGAAGTTAACCAATTTTAGTGTACTCAGTTAGCTTCCTTCCTCCTGGTAATCAGTCGGTAACTTAAAGTAAGTCTCTGCTGTAAGATTACTTTATAGCAGTAATATCATAAATTATAATTAATTTTAAGTAATATCATAGACAGTCTCATGAACTAGCGTAGCCTTTCTGAAGCTGGCTACCTAGCTAAGTTGGTGTGAAGCCGCCTTCCTGATTCACTGTATAAGGAGGAACCTAGAAAAGACGATCACGGTCGTGTTTCTGTCTTCCTCTCTTAGCAGCATGAATCATCTTTGTTTCTTGTCACTAAAAAGTACCTCCCAGTGTCGGGTCGACTTCTTGCACGTCTGACGTGCCGTGAGGTCTGCGATGAAGGTGGGGCAGTCACTGGAGACTTCTGAAGCATTAAAAACAGTCTCGTCATAATCCCCACAGTTCGCAGACATAAGTGGGAGTTCAGACTTGTCAATTCATACTGAGAACAGCAAAATGGAAAGAAATGACTTGATATAACTTGAAATACAGCAAGAAAGGAAAATGGAGTTTAACTATTTCCTGTGTGGCTGCTGGCTTTGCCTCGGGTGATAGTTAGAATTCAGCATTCAGTGTTGTTGTCCTTGAGTTTTGTCTCAGTGACATTTAAAAATGTGATCCTGGGTTTTGCTGAGTGCATTGTTTTTATCAAAACTGGCGTCATTTCATCATTTAATATCTTAGTCTTATTTTTTCCATTTCTTTGTATTTCTCTTTTGTCTCATCAAATACACCATCGTTATATCATGTGAAACTGAATTATGGAAGTGTGCTTATTAGTAGGTGGGGCTGCGAAATGTGAAGTAGTAGTGGACTTTATTTTTACTCATCAGAAATGTGTTTTCTTTGAAAATGGAAATTAAATGTTCTCTCTCTCTGTTAAAATTGGGCAAATAGATATTTATTTTTTAATTGATTTTTAGAGAGAGAGGGAGGGGGGGAGAGTAAAATGGATGTGAGAGGGAAACACCCATCGGCTGCCTCCTGCACACCCCCTACCAAGGATTAAGCCGCAACCCTGGCATGAGCCCTGACCAGGGTTCAAACCAGCAGCCTTTCGGTGCACCAGGTGATTCCCAAACAATGGCCACACCAGCCAGGACTACAGGTGGGCAGATATTTAAGGTTCTGAGGTAGTTTTGTGGATTTAGTTAGAATAGTAATTCAACAATGAATAGTTTCCCCCACAAAGATCCATCCACATTTTCAAAACTATCATGGGGCCCTGGCTGGTGTGGCTCAGTTGGTTAGAGCATTGTCCTATGCACCAAAAGGTCGCAGATTCAATTCCTGGTCAGGGTACATACAAGAGGCGACCGATCAATGTTTCTCTCTCTCTCTCTCTCCCTCTCCCTCCCCCTTTGAAATCAATAAAGGTATATGTTTTTTAATAAAATAAAGGCAGTGTATCATACTGGTGAGTAGCTCAGGTCCTAAGTCACAGACTGGACTGGAACCCAGGTCGGCTTCTTGCAATTTGTTTCACCTCTCCAAGTCTCAGTTTCATTATCTGCAAAATGGGAATAATGGTGGTGGGGACCCCAAAACTGCTGATCCCAACTAGATACCAAGGTGGTTGCTCATTGAAATGAACTATGCAGGTATGAGTAATCTATCAAGAAAACATGAAACAGGCACATTGAAAGTCCAGGTCAGTATCTGGTTGGTGGAGTGAGTAGACAGCTTTCGTAGTCATGGCCCATGGGTCCCTTCCCTGGGAAGAAGTGACGGGGACGTCACGCCTGACCCCGGCTTCCTGCCTCACATAAAGGCTTTCCTGGAAAGAAAAGTGAAGTCAAGCTAAAAGTACCTTTGTGTGGTGAGGACAGTATAAAAGGCTTCAAATCTCTGACAGTGAGAGAAACCAGCCTTACATTCCCTCTGCTGTTGTTAGTTTCTTTATTTCTTTGTTTATTCCTTGGGCTTTCTCTTCAGAGCCAGGCAGTCGATCCAGACCAGTTCTCGAGCCAGGACTCCAACATGATGCTGGAGCAGAAGGCGCCCGTCTTCCCCCAGCAGTACGCGTCTCAGGCCCAGATGGCCCAGGGGAGCTATTCTCCCATGCAGGACCCCAACTTCCACAGCATGGGGCAGCGGCCCAGTTACGCCACACTCCGCATGCAGCCCAGACCCAGCCTCAGGCCCACAGGCCTGGTGCAGAACCAGCCGAATCAGCTGAGGCTCCAACTGCAGCATCGCCTCCAAGCACAGCAGGTATGTGCTCTGTGAGTGCCTGGAAGCCTGGGGTGGAGGGTGGAGGGTGGGTGGCACAGGGAGGACAGATGTCAGATGGAGCAGTAATTGTGTGTCCCTTGGATGCCTTCGATCTCATTCCATGCTTTCTAGGAGGGTGATAACTTCTCGGAAGCCTTTCTATGATTTTCATACTCCTTTCTACTCCTTTCTTTCTTTCTCCTCCACTAACTCCAGTACAGAGTAGCTGTCCTTGCATACGCTAACTCCATTCTTTACTAATGGTCTAATCTTGAGCTCTCTGAGCCTCAGTTTTCATTCTGTAAAATGGGCTTGTTGTACAGTACAGGGCAGTATATGTATATTTAAGGGACCCAGCACAGTTCCGAGCCCAAACCAAGCACTCAGAACACCAGCTGCTCCTGTCAGGAGTCCTATCTGTGACAGAATGGTCCCTGTCAGCAGATTTCTGTGATGCAACAGGTAATCATGTTGCGGGCTTTCCAATCTCCTTTCGTTTCTCTGAGTGATGAGCACCTGCCTTTTTCTAGTCTTCCTCTTGGCCTCCTTTTCTGGTCATTCTCCTCCCTTTCAAACAGCTGTTTTCCAAACAGTCCAAAATAATTTCCCAGTTATAAGCAATGTGACACCTCATTCAGAACTGGCTTCCACAGGAATCCAGCTACAAGCCCGGGGCTTCAGTGTCCAGCAGCAGGCAGATGTTGGGTGGAAGGTGATTTTGTTAGGAAGATGATTTGAAATAAAATTCATAGGGGTTTTTTAATGTCCTGATTCCTATGTGTATCCATTTAGAATCGCCAGCCCCTTATGAATCAAATGAGCAATGTGTCCAATGTGTCCAACCTGACTCTGAGGCCTGGAGTACCAACACAGGTAAGGGGCAGCCCCTCCGTCAGCTTTCGCTGGGTCCATTTCTCCCCCCTTGATGCCCCACGTGAGGTAACTGAGGTGCCAGATGTTCTGACGACCACAGGGGATCTGTAACATCATTCAGTCATCTTTCGTGGTTCCTCTTAACCATTGCCATTGTTATTGCAGCTACAGGCAACTCCATTATTCACATGTTGTGTTCCATAAAGTTATTGCAAGCAAGAATTAGCGGACACAGAACTACTGCTCCTAGGAGAAGTAGAGGGTTAGGTTCCTATGAGCCTCTGCTCACAACATTTTCAGCAACCTAGCAATACATGACCTTGTTTTAGGTATGTTTCCATTTGAAAACAGCTTATTTAATGGGTATTGTTCAGTCTTTGACATTTGAACTCACAGACAATAGTCCTGTAACTCACCTAATGCAGTCTGAGGGTGGGAACCAGAAGGCGGAGTCAGGAGGGAGCAGGCACAGGGAGTGTCTCAAATTACCCACTGCTTTGCACGTATCTATAAATGACGGCAGTGCTGTGAATATTTGATTTAGGATACAAATCAATCTTAGTGAGGAAGGGAGTGCACAGACAAGGAATCCACGAATAATGAGGGTCGGCTGTATATTGCGAGGGCCCCCAAGTGCCGGCATCTCTTCTCGTCACCTGCCCCTGCCCCCTCTCTCCCGGCCTCTGCTCAGCCTTTTCTGAAGGGCTTCAGGAACCCTTTGGCACAGTGATTTGGTTTCCCCTTTGGACTTGAATGAGACTCTGAATTGCCATTCTCAAAGTTGACGTCAGAGTCCTCTGACAGGAGGGACTGGACTTACCGTGAGGTCCTCTCACTTCGAGCCTCCAGTTAATTGGTGCTCACATTGGGCTTACCTGTGTACGTCATGGCACGTTTCGGAATAATCATCTCTGTAGAACTTAGAAGCTCACATTCTCAACCACCAGTAGTTGTTCAGCTCTACAGTGTTCTTTCCATATAAATGTATTTTTCAAATAATTTTGCACAAGGCTGTACCATTATTTTTATCCTATTTCTAATATACACTTTGTTTTTCAACCTGTGTGTACTCCAACGTTTTCCACCCTGTGCTGCCCCCGTTTCAGGCACCTATTAATGCCCAGATGCTGGCCCAGAGGCAGCGGGAGATCCTGAACCAGCATCTCCGCCAGAGACAGATGCATCAGCAACAGCAAGTTCAGCAAAGGACTTTGATGATGAGAGGCCAAGGGTTGAATATGACATCAAGCATGGTGGCTCCTAGTGGGATGCCCGCAACTATGAGCAACCCCCGGGTCCCCCAGGCAAATGCACAGCAGTTTCCATTTCCTCCAAACTACGGTACTGGACTTACATCCCCACCACCTTTCTCCAGTCCTTTCTCCCCAGTGTCCCCCAGTCCTGGGTCACAGCTCCTCTCTCACAGCTCTTTGCATGGCTCCCAGATGGCTCTGGCTAACCAGGGAATGATAGGCAACCTGGGAGGACAGTTGGGGCCTGTCAGGAGTCCCCAGGTCCAGCACAGTACCTTCCAGTCTCTCAGCTCAGGTACCACCTTTTCTCTGAGTGCAGGTCTTACTTTAAGAATGACCGAAGTCAGTGTGAGTGTGTACCGTGCATCCACCAGTCGTGTGTGTGCGTGTGTGGATCTATGTGTTTATGTCCGTGTCTGTAAACGCAGGTGGATATATATGTATTTATATTTGAACCTCTGAGTCTGACTCAAACAAATCAATAGACATACACAAAATGTTGAAAGTCGTATAGAAATGTAAGTATTAGAGACATTCTACAACTTTGAAAAATAAAGACTTCAAAGTTTATACCAGATTTTTAATGAATAGATAATCCTTGAGAAATGCTATATAGGAACCACAATGGAAGGCCTCTTGGTTTTCTTCATATTGATTTGTTGGGTCAGCCTTAAAAGGCAAGTGTGTAGTGTCATCAGTGTTAATATTCATGTGCATGTCATGTTCAATTAATAGTTGAATTATTGACAAAAGTAAGTGCTTACATTAATATTCAGAATGACTTTGCCTATCTTTTGCCAGCTTTATCTATAAGTAACTATCAAGTATTTTTGTTTCTTAAAAAAAAAAAAAACAACACTAAAAAATACACAGAAAGATAATGTGCAGCTTTTTCCTGTGTGATCTTCAACTTTTCCTTTATAGCTAATTTAAATATTGATTAAATATGCATGTTTTACATGTCTTCTGGGCAAAAACCTGCTTATCTCAACATCACCCCTGAAATTTCCCGAGAAGTTGCCTCCTTTGTTTCCAAGCTCCTCTCCTCTATTTCCTTTTTGATGGTTTAGAACAGTCCTCTCAACGTTTTCCCCCTATTTAGTCTAAATGCCATTTGCTTCTAAACTGAACAAGAAGCTTGCATTGAGCTGTTTCCCTCTTCCTGTTAGTCCTGGCTAGCACTGCAGTACCATCCAGCCCTTCCTGAAGACAGAGGAGCTCACCGTGGATGCAGTTGCTTATTTGTAAAAATGCATCTGCCTTATAAAGAATGACATTAATTCAGTAAAAAATTATTCAAATATATTGACTTTTTATATATTGTGAAATTTTAATTCCGTTTAAACAGTCCTTATAGTGACATATAAAAATTTAAAGACTACTTCAGGTTAAAGAGAAATATATATTTGATCATTCTTGATTTGGAAAGGTTTATGGGGGAAAATAATATTTTCTCTCCCTACCTCTAGCCATGATAGTTAATATGGTTCCTAAGAACCCCTGTAACTACTGTGAGAATTAAGACGGAGAGATATTTTTCTTCACACATTTTATCCCACCTTGGAATCTTTTTAAAATATATGTAATTAACCAGTACGTGAGCAGATATTTGAAAGTAATTTTCTGTGTGTATTTAACTTGAATGCTCTCTTTCTTTTCACTACAGTCAAACTAACAGTCTCCTTTGGATTTCTATTTTGTTTTTAAGGAATAAGTCAGCAACCTGATCCCGGTTTCACTGGGGCTACCACACCCCAGAGCCCTCTGATGTCACCCCGAATGGCGCACACGCAGAGCCCCATGCTGCAGCAGACCCAGGCCAGCCCCGCCTATCAGGCCTCCTCTGACATGAACGGATGGGCACAGGGGTCCATGGGTGGGAACAGGTATGCTGTGTTCCTGTGTCTTTTTTATGTAAATGATCACCAGGAGATCTTTCTGTAGACCACACGTCTCTTTTCTGTGCTTTTCTTAACTCCTTTACACAAGCAAGCGATGCCAAATAAACTGCTAAGTAAGCCAGCTTGCTTTTTCTAGGGCAGAAGTCCCAGAATTTGAAAAAGCTTAGTCTGAAGTCTTTTCCTTGGAAGTAAAAGGAGCCCCCTAAGAAGGTAGCACCCCGCCCGTGTATGAAACGGCTGAAGAAGGCAGTGCCCTCGAAGCCGCCCTTGTCAGTGCGTGTAACGAGGGAACAACCACAAAGCTTGTCCCGTACAGACACGAGGGTGGGAAACAGCCTTCCCGACCTCCCTGGTGCCGCGGCCGCCCCTGAGCACTGCGGGCCCTGCTGTTTCTGACCTCAGCACCTGCTGGCTGTCCCACCCTGGGTTCTCTCCACCGGGGTTTTCTTCACTCTGAAGTGAATGCCGGAGGAGCAAGTGCTCCAAGCTGCCTGCCTGTTTGCACTGGGCACTGACATTGTCATCTTTTCATTGCCTTCCAGCATGTTTTCACAGCAGTCCCCACCTCACTTTGGGCAGCAAGCAAACACCAGCATGTACAATAACAATATGAACATCAATGTATCCATGGCAACCAACACAGGTGGGATGAGCAACATGAACCAGATGACAGGACAGATCAGCATGACCTCAGTGACCTCCGTGCCTACGTCAGGGCTGTCCTCCATGGGTCCCGAGCAGGTGAGCACCCTGAGGAGCCGTGTCCTCCGATCATCACGTTTTGTCTATTTCTTCATTTCAGTGAATCTTCCCTGGCACTCGGCATCTGCTGTCAACTCCCACATTTATTTTGAGGAGTGTTTTTTCACCTATGTTAGTGCGATTATCAGGAATACTTGTTAATGACAAAATACACATCAAAGAATTTCTGACTGCTCAAGCATCTTTGAAAACATTTCTTAACTTTCTTGTCATTTAAATTTTTCTCTTATTTGATGAATTTTGGCAACAGCTAACATGAATCTCTGAACATGGAATGGTGAATGTGTTTTCTAAATAGCTTTATTTGGATTTTTAGTTTAAGAACTGATTTTTTTTTTCTAAATATAAAACCAGATGAATCACAGGCCAAGCTACCTGCCATGCAATTAGCTTTAAATGATACTTCACTCCTGCAAGGAGGCTGATAGGGGTGACCCAAAACTAGTTCTGTCATCTTTGGATGTGGATGCCATGATTTTCTTGTCAGTATTTTTTTAATGGTGCTGTTTTGTGTTGAACAACATTGAAACAGTTCTCCCACTCCAAAATGTACACCATCTTCACTGGTGGGGAAGAGACTCAACGCATCTGGTATCTCAGGAGCCAGCCTGGGACTCAGAAAGCTGGGTAGGGCTGAGCCAGAGGTAAAGGTGTGGGTTAATCATTTTAAAATTGTGTTTATAGGAAATCTTATTTTTAAGGGCCACAAAATGCTTGGCATTCTACTTCCTCAGTCGTTCATTCAAATTATAGATGTGGCAAGGACCCTGAATCGGATTTCCTATCTGGAGAAATTGAGACAGGGAAAGTTTAAATGACTTACCCAATAAGCCATTGACAGCACCATGAATTTCAGTTAGATCACAGTTGTGAGAAGGTGAAGATTAAGTTGGATTAGGTCTATTTCATTCTGAGGTTGGTAAACCACAATTTACTGAAAATTTACAGAATTTTGCAATGCCTCAGTATTTTATTCTATAAGAAGGTATTAATAAACATTTGTAGTGGTAGTGCTCACTTCGGCAGCACATATACTAAAATTGGAACGATACAGAGAAGATTAGCATGGCCCCTGCGCAAGGATGACACGCAAATTCGTGAAGCGTTCCATATTAAAAAAGAAAAAAGAAAAAAAAATTCGTAGTGGTGCATGAGATGTAGTGTTGATGTTGAGTTTTCTATAAAAATGGGCCACTAGTGGTTCCTGGTTTCCTTTCTAGGAGTAGTGAGGGCCGCTGAGGTGGTCTAATCTAGTATGGGTCCTAGTCAACCTACCCAAGTGTAAGTGATGCATTTGCAGTAGTCCCGATGGCTCTGAAACTTCTGCATGGATTTCAACCTTTCAAATATCACAGTTATTTTGGAAGCCCCCAAAACACAACTGCAGTGTGTGTCTCATGACAGAATCCTCTATCAGCATCTGTACGTTCACTTTGTCGTTTGTAAAAGACATGTCACAAATGCTAATGATCAGCTCACTTAGTCTTGGAGGAGTCTTCAAATTCAGCTCTGTTTTGGATATTCACACTGGCTCTGACTAATCTATAATTTGCCTGAGTAACCAAGGATATGAGGAGCCTTTCAGATGTCTTCGAAGTCCCAAATATGAGTCATTAGTCTAATTCAGCCCCCAAAATGAACATGAAATGATATGAAAATGTTTCTAATATGATCATCTCTATTGAATTTCTTTTTTTAAAATATTATTGATTTCAGAGAGAAAGGGAGAGAGAGATAGAAACTTCAATGATGAGAGAGAATCATTGATCAGCTGCCTCCTGTATGCCCCCTACTGAGGATCGAGCCCACAACCTGGGCATGTGCCCTTGACCAGAATCGAACCTGGGACCCTTCAGTCTGCAGGCCGATGCTCTATCCACTGAGCCAAACCAGCTAGGGCTCTATTGAATTTCTATACAGAATACAAATAAAATTTAATTTGAAGGCAGCTAGTATATTAACATGTATTTATTTTCATGTTTCTCCATACGATAGAGGACTACCATTTTTACATAGTCATCTTTCCCCATTATTTACTCCTAAATTCCAGCAAGAGGAAGGCTGGTAGTTGGTTGTTCCCCACCACACTTCTGGACGTCCCGCTAAAAATACCTGTTGTCCTGTCTTGTTGCCCTCAGGTTAATGACCCTGCTCTGAGGGGAGGCAGCCTTTTCTCAAACCAGCTGCCTGGAATGGATATGATTAAGCAGGAGGGAGACGCATCACGGGTAAGAAACAGTGAAGAAATGTGCGAATTGGGTAAAGTGAGCATGAATGTTTTATAGACCAAAATTGGCAGAGTGATTGAAGATAGTTATAATGCTTGTGATTTTTTTAAAAATATCTTCTAATTTTATCTGACTTACAATGGTTCTGTGTAATTATCCCTTTAAGCTGATTTTAATTGAGCTGATGGTGATGTATGAATTAAGAACACTAATTTTGCCCTGGAATGATATTATAGCCAAGCAGAACACAAAGTGGCGGTGAATTAGTCATATTAGGGCAAGCCATTGAATTTATGTTTGCTTACATGTTTGTCTATATTCCATTTTGTTTAGGCAACAATCTTGTGTATTATTTCCTTGTTACCTTGACAGTTGTTCTAAGGAGAATAATATCACCATGTTCAACATCTAGTCTTGAAACAGTAGGCTAATTAGTGCTTAGAACCCAGCGCCTTGTGGGCCTAGCAGGGGCTCGGTTGTAGGAGGGCTTTGTAACACTTGCCCTGGGGGGCTCTTAACACAAGGGATATGTAAGCACTAGATACTCTCTTTTAAGTTAAAAATTCCCTCTCAATGGAGAAAATGTACAATTGATGTTGAATTTCCTACAAAAAAAATGGATCTTGGATGGTTTTGTTGAGATTATCATTCAAGTTTAAAAAGCAGTTGGTGGATTTTAATGGCAGAGTGTGTGCACTCGCCTGTGTGGCGTCTCTTGTTGAGAGAACAGTCACCTGGCACAGAGGCCTGTGGGTGGGAGTCCGGGAGACGTTACCTTCTATGTACCCAGATGCACAGCTCGTCTAAATGTGGACGTATTGGTATAGAAACTCAAGCAGAAAACGGAGCCTATTTCATATGGACCATGTGTTTAGAATAAATGTGCCATCGCATGAGGTTTGAAGTTGGCTGGCACCTCCCAGATGCCAGTCCTGCCTCCTGTGCACTGCGCCTCCCCAGGTGGGGCCCGGAGCTCAGGGGTGATTATGTGCAGAGTAGAGGCTTGGAGCCTGGGCTGCACCTCCCAGGAATGGCAACGTTATTGGTGACGAGGCTTCCACAGAGGACAGCCAGCTGAACCCAGAAGTGCCAGGGGCTGAACCTCTGAGCACATTGTGTCTGGGCGGGGGCGGGGGGGCGGTGACCGAGTCCATCAGGCCTCCCTCCTTCACCTTTCCGTGTGGCTGGCTGCTGGCCCACCCCTTGGTGGGGTACGGCTCCAGCAGCACTTCCTGGGCCAGGCCAGCAGCCAGTCCCCGCTCCTGTCTGCGACGACCCGGGGATTCACTTGCCTTGTCTCCCTCTGTCGCTGCATCACCTCCAAACAGAAAAGCCTGGCCTGGGTGAGGCAGAGCGCTCATTCTTCTTTAAAATCACAGGCGCACCAGCGGGTATTGAGCACTTACTGCACGCCTGTTCTCGCTGAGCTTTAAGTGACCTCGTTTGAACCACACAAGTGTTGGCACGAGTACAGCCCTGCCGTGGGTCCCGCACCAGCAGGGAGTGAACCCGGCCGTCTGAGCTCCTGTGCGCCCTTCGCCCTGTACTCTGCTGCCCGGCTCACAAAGGCTTTCCTCGGGGTTTTAGACAGCTACACACTGGAAAGGCCAGAGAGGAGCAGCTCACCTCCTTCCTGCTGCCATCCTGCAGGGAAGAGAACCCTTAGCCGAGCCCTTGGCCTCAGGCACCGGTTCTTAACCTTGGGGTGGGGAGGAACCTCTGAGAGAGGGAATGGCCTGTGGTCTCCAACGCATTTTCAGATGAGAAGAGTGCAGCTCAGGATTAGGTCATCTGTCCCAGGCCACACAGCTCGGAAGCGGTGGGTCAGATCATAGGAGCGGAGGGCTGCCCCGAGCAGCACCGGATGAAGGAGGGAGAGGCAGGGACGCCCAAGCTCGACTAATGGCAGAGCTGGCGCTTGCGCTGGCACTGGGCAGGGAGGGCCCCGAGAGCCCCGGTGCCTGATGGGCACCCACTAGACCTGGGACAGAGGGTTATCGTTAGGATCACACAAGGCGACTTGAGTAGTACAGGAGGCGCTCGCCACCAGAGGTGCCTTCGGAACTGAGCGGGCCCCTTGCACCCTCTCACTCTCTGTTTCTCCCAGTCCCCTCTTGAGTCAGGCTTACCCATCTGTCCTCTGTTTATGCTGAATGTTAAGGCCAGAGAACAGTCTGTCACGGACACTCTTGTTTCCTCCAGAGAAGGCTGTGTACAGTATATCCCTTCTAATCCATGAGTAATAGCGACATCACTGCCTGTGTCACCAGCCGCTGGTGTGGGCGCAGAGGGTGATGTGCTCTGTGCTGTTGCAAATCAAAGAACTTTTCTCAGAATTTTTATTGGTAATTGGGTTCTATTTGCTGAGCTAGAAACCACTGTGATTCATTATTAATTGAATCTGTGTTCCATTTATCTATAAATGGAGATTAAAATTATAGCTTCAAGCAGAGCTGGTATATACAACTGTGGACTTACCCAAAAACTATGTAGAGAAGGACAGGTATTTTATTTTAACCAAAATGTATAGGACTTTTTATAGCATTCCTTTATATTTTCATATTTATACGTATTAAAATTGAGTTCACTGCCCAGTTTCATGGCTCTTGTATAAAGTACAGTTGTGATTATTTGTATTTACTAGTGTTATGGAAACTAGGATTCACTTTGAGTTGGTGATGATGCTGATGTTGATGTTTACTGAGCATTTATTATGTCCCAGGAACTATTCAAACGCTCTGTGTACATCCTTTTGTTCAATCCCCACACGGCTCTAAGGTGTATTAGGTGCAGAAGGGTTCCATGACTCCCCACTCTGTGGCACAGCTAGGACGGCATGCCCCGCCCACCACACCAGCCACACCCGCCGTCCATGCTCACGTTCTGCCACTAACCTGAGTCTGGCTCACAGCCGCTTACTGATGTCGGTCCCTGTTAAAGAACCCTGCCTTAAAGTTCTGAAGGATATAAACCTTCTCCACTAGCATTTTTTCCCAGTTTAACTGGAATTTGAAGGATTTTTTTATATATATTTCAGTCAGAACCTTCAAGTATTTACATGCAAAATCATGTAGTGACACAAATTGGGGGTAAACATTACAAAGAAAAGTATACTGGGTGTTCTTCTAAAAGAGAAAATATAATCGGAGGTGTCCTGGGCTCACTTTTCAGGTTGGGGGCGGTGGGGGGGCAAATTGTGTAAGTGCCCAGGCAGGTAGCTCCACCTCTGGCTCCTAGAACACAGGAGCTGGCCAGTTTCCCCAGCTCGCTTTCCCAGGTGCTCTGGGGAAATCCATTATTCTGGGTTGACTTCCTCCCTGATCTTACTTAAACTAGATCATCGTTCATGGCCCTCATGTGCTAAAATTCTGTGTCTCGGTATCTAAATCCCAGGAGCAAGCAGCTGTTATATGTTCCCACAGCAACTAATGTTCCCCCTCACATAACTCGGATCATACTATTCTCTAATTGCCTTCCTGGCCCATTCAGCAGTGTTTTGATAGCAGTGCCAGAAATGGCTTGTCATGATTATATCCCCAGAACCTGGCACAGAGTAGGTACTCAATTAATATTTGCTAATGAAATATTAGCAAATAGTGAAAACTTGGGGGAGAGTGTATATAGTCAATAGCCAAAGAAAACGCATTGACAGATATACTTTCACCAGCCAGAGAAACATCTGCACATGGTTCTTGCTCACTACAGTAACAAGTGTACAGCCCTGGGTATCCAGCCATTCAAATCGATTGTCAGCACATAACCAACCAGAAACTAGCAAGAGTACCTGTGGAGCAAACACCCTAGGTGATGTAGCTTGCCAGAGAGAACACACCCATGGAACCTGGGAGTATCTCGGTAGGAGAGTTAAGAGGGTCCTTTTAGCCCAGCCATTGTGGCTCAGTGATTGAGCCTTGACCTGTAAGCCAGGTGGTCACTGTTTGATTCCTGGTCAGGGCACATGCCCGGGTTGCAGGCTTGATCCCCAGTAGGGGGTGTGCAGCTGGCAGCTGATCAATGATTCTCTCTCATCATTGATGTTTCTCCCTCTCTTCCCCTCTCCCTTTCACTTTGAAATCAATAAAAATATATTTTTAAAGTAAATTTAAAAAAGAGAGAGAGACCTTTTATTTGATAGGAAGTGGGTTTGTACTGGCTGATGCTGAGGAAGGATTAAGAAAGTGGGGTCACTTCTGGGTCAGATGCTGTCGAAAGGCAGGGGCAGCTCAGCCCCTGGGAGTCTCATCCCTTCTGAGCAGGTGGGAGAGATTGGGTCCGGCGAGGAGGTCCGTGCCGGGGCAGCAGTATTCGGAAGGAGCAGTCGGGAACTGTTGTAGTGCCCTCAACAGCATGTGGGCTCTGCTGGCCTTTGCCAGCATCGTGTGTTCACTGAGGGACAGCGCCATCTGTCTGCTTCTAAATCAGGTGCAACTCATCCAGAGGCAGCCTTTAGGGCTGACCTTGTTTAACGGCAAATATTTTGATGTTTTTTTGTGATGGGCTCTATGACGGGTTTACCACATATTCAGAGATCTTTCTGTTTTTCTGCAGAAATACTGCTGACACTGAAGGTAGCTGGTTGCTTCTTTCTTCAGCTGACTGGGCTCACTTGCTCACAACACTTCCTGGTCTGGGATGGAGAGCTGCGTCTATTTGTTTTGACCCCACCGGCCTGCCAGCCAGGTCTGCCCAGCGAGCTTAGCAGATGCGGGCCTGGCCCAGGGAGTGGCGGCTGCAAGAGGACCCCACCGGCCTGCCAGCCAGGTCTGCCCAGCGAGCTCAGCAGATGCGGGCCTGGCCCGGGGAGTGGCGGCTGCAAGAGGGGCTGCCTCTCTCTCTCTCTCTCTCTCTCTCTCTCTCTCCAGCCTGAAGCTTGTGTCCAGACAGTTGCTCAGTCTGTTCACTGCATTCACCTTAGTGCAACTTAGATCTCTCCTGCGAAGTAAATGTTGACAGGCAAAGTTCATACCCATGTCAGATTGAATGTATTTAAATGTCCGTATTTAAGGGAAACAACCGTGCTCTTATTCTGTTCCTGTTTGGTTCCAGACACTGGTTTCTTGCTTTGTTTTCCCTGGCTAATCAGTCATGTACAAAAGATTACGATTTCATCTGGGGGAAAGAAAGGGGTTTTTTTTAAAAAAATCAAACTGCATTTGGGATAAAAGCAGGGCAGACACCATGGACAGCGCTGTATGGACAGAGACGCCCACAAAGTGAAGACCGCTATCTGCGGAAAGCTCTCAAGACCAAGTTGGGAAGAGTTTCCAGCTAATGAACAGATGAAAAGGAGCACGTGAGAGGGCTGTTCATGTAACAAGGACTTTTTCCTTTCTTTTATTTTTGTTAAAACCAAACAAGTTCATCTAAATCATTAATCAAGAAGAAATATTATTCATTTTCAAATTAAGTTCCCTTTCGATTGATCAGACAGCTTGGATTAGCATCTCCTCTTCCTCCCTGACCCTGACTCTTCCTTCCCCAGTCCCCACCCCCCCACACACACTTTCATTCATTTAACAAAACAATAAAAGCAACAGAAACCAGACAAGCCCCTTATTTCCTTAAATGTTTTGCCAGCCACTTAGCAATTGCTAACTTAAATTTCAGAAAAATGCATTTACTGGCAAGGAGAGGAGCAGAGTCAGCACGATCCCGATCCCACTGGCGACACCTGCTCCCAAAGCGTGTCTGTCCTGGTCCCCAGCGACACAGACCCACACACAGGACGTCCTGGCGTGTTTTACGCTGAAGCAGCAGAGACACGCCAGGGTCACCTCCGCCATGTGTTTTTTATTTTGTTTTTTAGCAGTGCTAAGCCGAAGTTTTGTAAGGTACATAAAATCCAATTTATATGTAAACAAGCAATAATTTAAGTTGAGAACATGTTTTAATTGTATAATTTTTGTGAGGTATACATATTGTGGAATTAACTCAAAAATGAGGTACTTCAGTATTAAATTAGATATCTTCATAGCAATGTCTCCTAAAGGTGTTTTGTAAAGGATATCAATGCCTTGATTAGACCTAATTTGTAGACTTAAGACTTTTTATTTTCTAAACCTTGTGATTCTGCTCATAAATAATTTATCCAATCTATATGATATGCAGCCGCCGTAGGACCCAGTTCTTGATTTTTATATGTTTATATTCTTTCTTAATGAACCTTGGGAAGACCACCTGTGGTGAGCAGGCCACTTTCGTGGTTGTTTCTCTCACCCACGCGGGAAGTGGAATAATCTTTTATTAATTGGTGTCAGTTTCAGACAAATGCAATACCAAGAAACTGATTACCTTTTTTGAGCTATTTCTCCCCAACCCCTAAGACTTTCTTACCTAAATTTCAGAATGGTGTCTTTTTGATGTCTAAAAAGCAAAGCATTTTATATCTCACTAAGCCAGGCTTTTTAGGAACAGAGAGGTTTTTCCTTGAAATTTGATTGATTGTTTGTGGCCGGGTAGACAATGGACAAACTACCCCTATTTATATGTATATCTCTCCCTATATGTACAAGTGATGGATTATAGAGAGAGATATACCGGTAGCCCAAAGATAAACGGTAAGTAGACAGTCTGAAGGTGTTGCTCCATACTAAAGAAATTTTCTGGAAATTTGCATTTCGATACTTTTTTCCACTTGAGAGGGGTCTCACTACAGGGAGGTGGCCCAGAACAGCACTTCTCGGGGCCATCAGTCCACATGCCCCCTCACCAGGCTCTACTCTTCTCAACCAAACCCTGGGTTGCCCAACTGCGATGGATAAAACGAGCAGACGTTGGCCCAGAACTCCGTGACCGAATCCGTGTGCCAAGGCTTATGTCCTACACGATGTCATGTGACCAGTTTTAAGTTGCTTTTTAGAAACATGTGACTTAGAATGACTTTAACTTCACACAGCACAAAGGAGAAATGGAGTTTAAGCTGGATTTGTTTTGTTTTGAGTTTTAAGTCCCCTTTCACTGTAACACGTCCAAAAATATTTTTTTAAAAATCTGTGTATCTTTTACTGTTTACCCATCTGCCCACTGTGTTTTAATGTCAACCCCAAGTCAGATAAATCTGTAAACCAGTGAAGCTGATCATTTCGAATAATTCATGGCTGTTTTGAAGGAAAAGAGGTTTTAAATTCTCTTATGGCTCAGATCAGGGAATGAATGGGTTTTGCTTTACATCTAATTAAGAGAAGAAAAGTAAGTGAAGGAATCCTCTGATCATATTGATCACTGTGGAAGCAAAAGCCAAATCGACCCCCTTCGTTATCAGTATTTCTCATGCTGTACACAGTAAATTTGTTAGACTGAGTCCTTGGTTTTTGTTTAATAGGACAAAGAATCAGTGTTTTACTTTTATTACTAAATGTGAAAAACAAATAATGTGAAAAGTATACATACATTCACTTGGTTGTAAGACTCATTTAAATGTTCATGTAATGTGGTGAGTTGGAAAGTGAAGTGAGCTCTTTGACTACAATGAATTCGTTTGACTCAAAGATTAAAATGTCCCTTCCCACGTGTATCTCCTATGGCCTGTAATAATTGAAAGCAATGTTTTTGCAGTTTATATAATGCAATTTTTAATCTGTGTTTAAAAATGGAGTTCATATGGGCTGACCACATGAAATGGGTGGCCCACATCCACTGTAGAACCCAAAGATACACAATCAATTTTGAAATGCAACTTAAGCCATTAATTGTTGGTGTGAATTTAAAATTTTCTAGTATTTGTATGGTAGTGTGCTGCCTAAGAGCAAAGCATTCTCTGCACAAAAGAAAATTACTGTAGTGGCTTCAATTTTAATTAGAATTTTCTCCCTGGTGTTTCTTTATAGACTAAAACAAAATCTTTTAAGTTTCTTACTACAGGTAAAAGCTATGTGCAAGAACCTCAAAATGCTAAAATCTAGCATAATGCCTTAGATCTGTTTTTAAGTCTTGTATATTCCTACATAGCTGTCCGATGTATTATATTTGTATAGTGAATTGTGTACAATTTTTTGAATAAGTACATCATCACTCAACCTTTACGTTGTTGGATGGTGATGATGATACATTTCTTCAAACATTTAACTGTCTTTTTTTCCCTTTGTCATTTGTGGGTTTTATTTGTACAGTTCCTCATGAAGTTGCATCTGAGATGTGTGTATATGAAAAGATTATACAAGGGTAAAATTAAGCAATATATTAACTATGGTTCTTCAGGAGAAAGCTTACAGTGTTTCAGGTTGTGGTTTATTTTCCAAATGGAGTTGACTCTGAACATCACCTTGTTCACCTGCATCGATGTTTGTATTTCTCGTGTGAGCAGTTTATGCAAAGGTAGATATATTCAGAGAAATTTAAATACATTTATGCAAGTTAATATTGCTTTGCTGATGCTCTTTGCTTATTTGATGTTAAATAATGCTATTGTAAATAAAGAATTCTGTTGTTATTGCATCATTTAATAAATTTTAATGCCTTCGGGTTTTACATGGCTTTGGAGAGTGTAATGTGTTTATATTGTACCTTCATTCATAAATGCATTTAAATTTAAAATACCTGACTTGCAATTTAATAATGTCTTACATTTATGCAGGAGTGGACACTGTGTTCAGCATGTTAACATTTGATTCTCTCAGCAACCCATTTTATAGATTTTTCATTTGAAGTCAAGAAGGGTGGGTTTTTTTAAAATATATTTTTATTGATTTCAGAGAGGGGGAGAGAGAGAGAGATACATCAGTGATGAGAGAGAATCATCGATCAGCGGCCTCCTGCACTCCCCACACTGGGGGTTGAGCCCACAACCCGAGCATGTGCCCTGACCAGGAATCAAACCCATGACCTTCTGGTTCACAGGCCCACACTCAACCACTGAGCCACACTGGCCGGGTAATGATAGTTTTAATGGATTGGTTTGTTTGATAGTTGATAAACAATGTAGGTACAATACCTAAAACCCAGGTATACCAAAAGCAAAATGAGTGATTAGAAAAATGTCAACACTGTTGACTACATTAACAAGTTGAAGGAAAAGATGCCATTTGATAACTTTGCATAGAATAAATTTCACCCATTTATGAGGAAATCTCAAGGAAAAATGAAACTTCTAGGAAAAGTAAATGTTCTAAAGTTATTTGAGTTTTCAGATAAGATGCAATCCCACTGTGATAACATTTTACTTAACAGTGAAATACTAAAAGTATTAACTAGAACAAAACAAGGAAGCCCACTACCAATGCTGAGAACTGGGGTATTATCACCTGAAGAGGAGAGGGGAGACATTCAGCCAATTTGACCATCTTCAAGGAAAATCCACATGATCAACTGACTAGCTCTTGGAATGAATCAAAGCTCAGTGAGATGGATAGAACATTCAAAAAACCAATAACTGTCCACACTAAAAAACCATTTTTTAAATCCCCACTTACAATAACAACATAATACAATGCTTATAAAATAGGATTGTACCTAACACAAAGTATGAAAGATCTTTGTGTAGGAAACTATAGTTTTACCAAAAGACATAGAAAACCAGAGGGGAAAAAAATGGACACAGGCCAGGAACCTAGAAAAGAAAAACCTAATATTATAAAACCATCAACTCCTCCCAAAGCAATCCAAAAAGTAAAATGGATTTGCAAGATATGATGTAAACAATAGAAATTGTGGTCTGGCCAGCATGGCTCAGTGGTTGAGTGTGGACTTACGAACTAGGAGGTTACGGTTCGATTCCAGGTCAAGGGCACATACCCGGA